CCAGCACAGAGGCTGAAGATGTGAATTTGATAGCTACAGCGATAAGGTACAAATTCCAAGTCCCCCCGTTGACGAGTTCCTGGGCCTCAATCCTTCTGAGCTTCAACTTTCTCATCTGTGAAGTGGGCATTTTAGCTGTGAGCCTTAGCTGATAGGTGAAGAGATTTAACAGTGCCTGGCACACAGAATATGCTCTGTCCATGTTTGTTAAATTAGCAACCACAAAAAGCATATGATATCAATTCCTAAAATTTACATTTGAGGAATGCAGGCTGGGCAAGAGGAAGTGGCTGTTTACTCCAACTTCGGAACCCTTTATTCAGCAGTTTGGGGTGTTTGCACTTTTCTACGTGTGCTTTAGTGGTTGGGGGACCCATTTATACATTTCTTTTGTTGTTTAGTTTAGAGAATAAATTCGCGTTGTTAGAGGAAGTTGTTCATGTGTCAAGAGACTGGGACTTAAAAACAACAAGGTCCTACTGTTCAGCACAGAGAACTATGTTCAGTATCTTGTAATAACCTATAATTAAAAGGAATATGAAAAGGAATATATGTATGTATATATCTAACTGAATCACTATGCTGTACACCAGAAACTAACACAACATTGTAAACTGACTATACTTCAATTAAAAAAAAAAGAAAGAAATCTAAAGAGACTGGCAATCACAGTGGGAACCGGGGCATCTCTGGGTGACCCTGTCTTGGCTGAACTTGGTCCCAGATCTCAGCAAAGGCAAACATGCCTCTGCCCTGTCCCACCACGTTCTGGGGGCGGACCCTCCTGCTCCCACACATCCCGCCAGCCCAGGCCCCCGTGGGAACCCGCCCTGGTCAAAGAGAGACAAACACGAGAGAAGCCCAGGGTGGGCACTGTCTTTCGTCAGTCCAAACTTTTCTCTGATCTTGAGTTTCCAGGAGTGTGTTTCTTAGACCTTAGAAGTCCTCAGCTACGGAGCGTCCGGCGTACATTTCTCAGATTCTGGGAAGCTAAGGTTTTCTGGTGTCTCTAGAGTTGGGGGCTCTTACCTGGGGCTCTGGGGGATGCTGTGAACAGGGCGGGGGCACAGCTGTTATAAAAAGAAGTAGCTGTTTGGGGAGTGGGAGTCCTTTTACAGACACCCTGTGCGATGTGGAGTACTCGTCCCTCAACGCTGGAAGAACCTGACAATGAAGACAATTATTAAGTTAACCCATATGAAATTGCCATTTTTGTGGATCAAAATTGGTTGCATTCCAGCAACTGTGGCAACAGAAAGCAGATTAGTGATTGCCAGGGCCTGAAGGGAACAGGATATGGATGGGGTGTAACTGCTTAACGAGAATGCTATTTTTCTTTCCAGGTGATGAAAATGTTCTGGAACTTGATACTTTGAGGTGACAGTTGCACAATATTGTGAATATACTAAATGCTACTAATGGTGAAATTTACATTATGCACATCTTACAATTTTTTAAAAGTGATAAGGAAACAAACTGTTATACCACCTCACCCCAAATTAGGATGGAGTCTGGCAATTTCATAAAGTTCAGCCTAATGGAATTCTAGAACCCTGAAAGGGTGAGTGGAAATCAGTCTCTTCTGAACAATGCATATTATTACATGATATTTGATGCATGGAAAAGAGTGCCAGTAACGTGTAAATTATAAAGTACAACAATTAAAAAACTTCTATAAAACCACCAACCATCTTAGACTCTGAATATCTAGATCAAGAGTCAGTAAACTTTTTCAGTGAAGGAACAGAGAGTAAAGATTTTCATTTTTGCTGGTCAGGAGGTCACTCCTGTTCTCTGGTGGAATGAAAGCAGCCATAGACTGAATGGCGTGGCTGTGTTGCAATAAAACTTTATTCACAAAAACAAACAGTGGGCCAGATTTGGCCCACAGGCTGGAGTTTGCTGGCACCTGATCTAGGTCAAAGACTATGAGCGCTAAATTGTTGGAATCACAGACTCTCAGAATGTTGGAATCATGGGCTATTTGACCCAAAGAATCCTACAATGTTTGTCACAAACTACTAAAGCTCAGGATGTTAGAATGTCACACCAGAACCTCCGAGTTAGAAGTATAGAGTTCCAACTGTTCAATGTTAGAATTTGGTAGATGATCTGAACATCAGGCATGGAATTCTAGCCCTGAGCTGTCCTTTATGGTGGCTACCGATCACATGAGGCTACATTAAATAAAATGAGATGGATTTGAGATGAGAGATGCTGTGACTGGAAACTACACACGAGATTTGGAAGATGTGGTGTGGAAAAAAAAAAGAATGTGAAGTCTCAATAATTGTTCATATGGGTCACATATCAAAATGATCATACTTTCAATAGATGTGGTTCAGTAAAAGACAGCACCAAAAGTCGTTTTACCTGATCCTTTTTGTTTGTCTTTGCTTGACTGCTGAAAAATCTAAAATCATGCTTGTGGTTGACATTATAGTCCAATTAGACAACATGAATCTTGAGTAATATCCTCCTGAAGGTTTGAGATGTGGTACCTTGGAAGGTCATGTGGCACAGATGCAGGGGAGGAGACTCTGCCCCCTGGCCTTGGGGAGCCAGGTCTCAACAACAGGTGGGTGGGTGACCAGGGACTTGGAGAGCAAGGGTAGGAACACAGACAACTCATCATGCACTTCCTATCCCTACCACTTCCTCTCTGGAACTTGCTGACCCAGCAGATTCCCCAGGCCCCAGATTTCGCAATCTCCTGGCCCTTCAGCCACTTCCCTCTTGGGCAGTGTTGATCAACACCAGGCTGAGGCTGCCTCAGAGAAGCCACCTGGATCCCATGTGCTTGCCTCCAAGTGTTTCTAGAAGACAATTGTGGGACCCAGCTCTCAGGAAGCATTTCCTTTCCATATCAGGGGGAGGGAAAGACCCCACTGCCTACAGCCCACTCCCCAAAACCAGGAAAGCCAGAGGGTGTCCTGGAACAGAGATGGAGTAGAAGTGTGGGGAGGCAGAGGAAGAAGTCAAGGAGGACTTCCTGGAGGAGGCTGCACCCTGAAGGAAGGTAGAATAGGGACAGGGAAGGTCTTTTAAAACCTGACCGGACAGCTAGGAGATCAGACAGAAAGACAGGCAGGGATTCAAATGAGAGAGGATGGAGGGCTTAGATCAGGAAGTATGTGAGGTGGGAAGACGGTGGCATCCAGCACGGGTCCCAGGTGCAGGCTGGCATGATGGCATGGATGGTGGGGCCCCCCAGGATGGGGATGCAGGGGTGAGAGGAGGTCTGGGAGAAGATGCCCAGGTCATTTTGGGCGAGGCAGGTGCAGACGTCATACCCTGAAGAGAGAGAGCGCTGTGAAGTATTGGATGAAGACACAAAAGTAAGAAGCATGTTTAAGAGAAAACTCTAGAAACCCAACATTTAAATATAGAGGAAGAAACTCTGTGGAGGAGGGTGGGAAGAATCACTCAGAGAGGGAAGAGTATAACCAATCAGGCTTGGAGCCAGCCAGGGAGGAAGCCCGAGCGGCCAGGAAGAAGGCAGCAGGGGGATGTGGGCTGTCCAGATAGAAGGGACATCCAGGATCAAGAGGATCTTCAGAGGAGGTCCCAGACCTGATGGTAGCTGGGGCTCAGGTCTTCCCCCAACAACCTTGCTACCAGCAAATCGGCACAGGTACCAAAACCACACACAGCCTCTTCTGGAAGTGCAGCAGAACACCCACCCCTATAGCTGCTCCAGAAGCATCTTTAAATAAAAATTGTCCCCAAGGCAGACAACACAGCCATAGCAGGATTCAGCCACGTTTCCCGTCGGATTCACACAAAATCCCAGCCCAGTGCCCCATCCTGAAAGCTGTTTCCTGGACTCAGTCAGCTCTTGCCAACAGGGAGAGGCAGTGGATCCCTGTGTCATTGGATTCAGGGGCCACCAGCTCCATGTGGCTTCTGGGCACTTGAAACGTGCCAGTCTGAATGGAGATACACTGTGTCACACACACGGGATTTTGTAGACTTAGTACCAAAACAAGAATGTAAAATGTAAAAGACCTCAGTAATAATTTTTCACACTGATTACAAGTTGAAATAAAAATATTTTGGATCTATTGAATTAAGCCAAATATATTATTGACTATATTATCATTCTTATATATATCATATATCTTTATATATAGTGATATAACATATTAATGACATCAATATTATGATAATATATTCATACATATATTAATATAGTATTAATATGTGTTATAACATGATATTATGTGTTCTGTATTTCTCATTTATATGTATTTCTATATTATGTAATTATAAATATAACTTATATAATTGTATAACATATTGCTATTCACATAATACATAATCACATGATATATAATAAATTTTTAGAAATTGAAATATAGCTGATTTACAATGTTCTGTTAGTTTCAGGTGTACAGCAAAGTGATTCTGTTATGCATAGTTATATTCTTTTTCATATTCTTTTCCATTATAGTTCATTACAAGATATAAAGTAAACCATTATAATATAATTAATACAGCATTCATTTCATCATTGTTAGTATAACATATAATTGTATCACATTATTAAATATATTACTATTATTTCATCCATTTCATATGAATTTTTTAAGGTAGCTACTAGAAAATTTTAAACTACTTAAGGGGCTCACATCGTATTTCTGTTGGACAGTGCTGGCCTGTACAGTATTTCTAGCCATCTACACACACACACACACACACACACACAAAACACTAAGCAGGAATGTGTCCAACTCCATTATAAACAACACATTTCACCATTTATTATTTTTTATTTTCAGTTTTCAAGTGGTGCACACTAGTTTTTTTAAAAGTCCAAAGATTCACAGAGAAAAAAATGTGACAATGAGTGTGTATATGTCCATGAATGACTGAAAAATTGTGCTGAACACTGGAATTTGACACAACACTGTAAAATGATTATGAATCAATAAAAAATGTAAAAAAAAAAAAAGAAAATACTCAGGAGATGCTCAGCAAAAAAAATAAAAAATAAAAAATAAAAGTCCAAAGATTACACACTGTATAAGTCCATTGATATAACATTTTTGAAAGGACCAAAGCACAGAGATGGAGAGCAGCCTCGTTTGTGGCCCCCAGGGGTTCGAGATAAAACTGGGGAGGGTGGAAGGAAGTGGGTGTGGCTAGAAAAGGGTGTCACGAGGGATCTTGGCAGTGATGAAAACGTCCTGCCCTGCGGCCATATTCATGTCAACATCTCAGCTGTGATATCGTAACATCGTTTTGTAAGATGTTGCTAGTACAGGAAGCAGGTCAAAGGTACACAGGATCCCTCTGTATTATTACTTACAACTGCATAAGACTCTGAATGACACAGCATTGTAAAATGACTATAACGCAATAAAAACAAAGTTTTAAAAAAAGACTCTAAATGAAATCAAAAGAAAACATTTCATTTTTTCAAGTGCAAACAAAGCAGCAACTGAGAAAGTAAAACAGCAAATTCCCCTGTGACACCTCCACCCTGGAGGTTCCCAACCAGCGTTTCCCAACCCCAGGTGATTTCCTCACTGCCTGCTTTTTGCCATAACCACATCGCATCTTTTTACTTAATACTTTAATAAAAAAAAACCTAGTTAGGTAACATATTAACTTATTGTTTTCCTTTAAATCAACTCACTTTCAAAAACTGAATATTTTCGCTTTACCCTAAATGAGAATATCTTTTGAGATGCCAGTTAAAATTTTTTTCCCAACTCTCTATAAAATAAATACAGAACGATGTTTTTTTTAAGGTTAGAATGTTTCTGTTTGTCTGCCTTCCGTGTAGCTGACGTATTCTTGTCACTGTCTCCGCACACAAACGTATTGCTTGATGGGAGGGCTCCAGGTAGACTGGTTTCTGTTTGTTTTCCAAAGTCCTTGGATGGAAAGAAAGGCTGAGTGTCCTTGGAAGGAAGTGTTTATCTTGGAAATGAGGAATGATGGGAAGAGTTTGCCTGGAGAGGAGGGACGAGTTGGGGAAAGATGGAAGGATGAAGGAGAATTCACTCAGACAACACCACCTTGCCAAGGGCTGAGTTCAAATAAGCAGAAAGCGAATGGATAGGAAGTCTGGTGGAGCGCCGGGAATATAGTGGCCTGGGAGGCCTCCCCTCACACCGTCTGGCTCTTCAGGGCTGGGGTGTCCACTGTGGAGAGGGTGACGGACTTGCTATCCCTGTGCACGGACTCTTCGGTCAACACATTCCGGAGTCTGGAGGGGAGAGTCTTGAGAAACCGGGCGTGGAAGCCTTGGGCGGCGAACACGTAGATGATGGGGTTAATGCAACAGTTGATGTAAGCTAGAGAGACGCACAGGGCATCCAAACTGGACACGAGCTTGTAGCTGTCCAAGTGCCGTTTGAACAAGGCCAGCATCAACCCTGTCACCTGGTAGGGCAGCCAGAAGACAAAGAAGCTGGTCACCACGGCCACCACCACCTTGAGCGTCTTGGTGGAGCGGGTGGCACTGCGGCTCCAAGCCCGGACCAGGAGGAAACTATAACAGATTGAGAGTGTGACCAGTGGCCACAGGAAACCCACGACAAACCGGAAGATGGCCACAACCCTCTCTACATACAAACCATCCTTGCCATAGTCGACAATACACATTATCTTGAATGGAAAGGGCTCTATGTGCATCCCACGAAATAAGAAGGAGGGGATGGTCAGAAGCAGAGCCAAGATCCAGGCCACACTGCAGGCCACCCAGGCCAGGAAGGACCCGCGGTAGTTCTGGCACCAGACAGGATTAAACACCAGAAGGAAGCGGTCAGCACTGATGGTGGTCAGAAGCAAGATGCTGGAGTACATGTTGAGCAGGATGAGTGAGGGCAGGATTCGGCAAGCGGCTTTCCCGAAGGGCCAGTGGTTGTGCTGGATGATGGATGTAAACAAGATGGGCAGTGCCAGGCAGGAGAGGAGGTCGGCCACAGCCAGGTTGAGAAACCAGATGGCATTGACGGTTCGCCTGGCCTCGGACCCAGTCACCCAGACCACCAGGGCATTGCCTGGAACTCCCACCAGGAAGACAACCGCAAAGATGACCAGGGCGATCACATCCGGAGTGTGCAGCCTGAGGGTTTTGGAAGAGTCATCCACCAGCACGTTGGGGTCTAGGTCCGAGATGTTATAATCGTAATAGAAGGTGCTGTTCTCCATGGAGTCCTGGGTGGAATCGGAGACGCAAGGAGAGTATGAGTCTGTAGACAGGCACCAAGGGGCCCATCAGGGCTGCGTAGTTTTGAACCTATCACTCCATTTCTTTAAGCGTCAGGTTTCCCCTGGGGAAATGAGGATGCTGAGGGCCGAGAGCCCTCTGGGGTGTCATACCATTTATCAAAATATTGAAAATCCTCCCAAGCTAATTAGTCTCCCTGCCACCCTGCCACCTCCTCTTGAAGTCCCCAGACTTCCCCAGGATCCAGCAACCAAAGGATTAAAGTCTGCCGCAACATTGAAATCACCATCCGTTCTGATTGGCCAGTACCCATGACACACTGCTTGTTAAATTTTTTTTAATGTATTTTTTCTTTTTTCTGTTTTTTTAAATGGAAATACAGGTACTGGAGATTGAACCCATGACCTCGTGCACCCCCCAAAAAATGACACGGTGGAAAAAAACTTGAATTTTAGATGAAGATAATCTGCTGCGGTTGTTTGATTTCTGACCCCATAGTTCTGCACAAGGAGACCTTCCCAGTCAGCCCACAGTCTGCATTCCCAGCTGGGCCGGCCTTTGCAGGTTGACAATAACATGCAAATGTATCAGGCAGCATGGACTTCTGTATAGTCATGCTGCAGGGAACTGTATTCAATATCTTGTAGTAACTTACGGTTAAAAAGAACATGAAAACGAATATATGTATGTTCCTATAGGACTGAAGCATTATGCTGTACACCAGATATTGACACAACATTGTAAACTGACTAGACTTCAATAAAAATATATTAAAAGATTAAAAAAAGGCAAGAAACTTTATTTTAAAAAAAGAGTATATGAGAGTTCTTTGTCTTATTCTTGTAATTTTTCTATGAGTGTGAAAATATTTCAGTTTGGTTTAAATTGTTGAACTATTTCCATTGAGAAGAGCCCCTGCCCTGAGCCAGTCACCCGTACCACCTCCACTCCCAGCACCTGCGCTTCCCATTTGCAACCTTGGGACCCCACTTCCAGTCCCCATGCTCCGATTACTGAAGAGTTAGTGCCAGGCATGGCAAGAAGCCTCAGATTCTGCTGGGCTGGGGGGTGGCACTCTGCATCTTAACAGGTTGTCAGATATTTTAAGTGCTGACCTTGAATGTGATACATGAAGCTAACTTTTGCCCTGCTGGTTTCACAAGCTCTTAGCCAGGCTTGGCTGCAGAATGACCCAGACCCCCAAAAGGGAAGCCTTTCCCCCACCTTCTCTCACCCTCATCATTCTCTCCTGCACCCCACCCATCAGCTAACAAATATCCTTCCCTGAAATGAGCTCACTCGACCCTTTCCTCTCATTGACTTCATGAATGCAGAAAAAAAAATGCTGATTCTAACCCTCTTGCGGCTTCTAGGATCCTCCCAATGCAAATGGCTTGTAGATTTTTGCTCTTGCAGCATCCCTGCAAAGAAGGGAAACAGCCCAAGTGTCTAGCAAGAGGGGACTGGCTAAGTTAATGATGGCACATCCAAGCAACGGAATATCATGCAATCATCAAAAGGAGGAAGTTTACGTAAGGATATGGAAAGAGCTCCAAGATCTAGGGTGAAAGAGAAAAAGTAATAACTAAACTGTGTGTGAAGCACGCTACCTGCGAAAGAGGAATCTCTCTACCCTCTCTCTCTGTTTCTCTCTCTCTCCCTTCCTCCCTTTCCTCTGTTTCTCTATCACATTATCATTCTGTCTGTCTCCCTCCGTGTGTGTGTGTTTGTTCGTGTATGCACAGACTAGCTCCAGAGGCAGACAGAGGAAATTTGTAACAGTGGTTGTCCCTGGGGAGAAGTAGGGGGTTAGACAGCAGTAGGGGGTTAGACAGCACGCATTGGAAGGGAGCTTTTACTACACATATACTTTTGTTCTTGTATGTAGAGCCACCCCAGCGAGTGCACACCACTCATTTTCCACAAAATGGATATTGTACAGAATATACACAACAATTCGTGGTTCTACCATTCTAGGAGTCTAGGAAAAATTCTAGGACTCTTTCTTCATCGCACAAAGATGAACTGGCTAGGGGACTGGCTCCTGACTTAGCTGGTATCTGCCCTGGGACAGGTTATGCTACCAGGAGAAATTAATCACCAGGATGGGGACTGAGAGTGTTCAACAGAGAATCAGCCTGATGTGGGATCAGGAGGAGGGTCTTGGAAAAATAAAACGGCAGCGCTGTCCAACAGAACTTTCTGTGCTGACGGAAGTGTCCTAGAAGTGCACTATCCAAGATGGTATGTTGAGTGCGTGGAAGGTGGCAAGCGTGTCTAGGAACTGAACTTTCAATTTTCTGTCATTTTAATTCAGTTTCAGCAGCTACCTGTGGCTGGAGGTGCCCATCTTGGGCAGGTCTGGAGCTCTTAAGAGATTCCTAAATGCTGGGCGCTATTCTCGGATGTTTCCCAGGTGTTAGTTTGTTAATTCCCTAACTGCAGCATTTATGCCCCAACAACCCAAAGGGTGAGGTACTTTTATTGTTCCTAAGTTCGTAGGCTCATTTTAAGAGCACTCGTCTGTGAAGAAAGGGCTCCAGTACAGAAGCTGGGAAGAAGAGGGGGTTGGAACGGTCCTGGTGAGGTGGACATGAATGGATCAGAGGAGACCAGGGTGAAGGAAGATGCGGTACTTAAGAGAATAGCAATCAGAATCGCTCAGATCTGTTCTAAGTCATTTTCATGTATCATCTAACTTAACCTATGGGACAACTCTATGAGAGTTGTTGCTATTACAACACCCATTTTACAGGTGAGAAAACTGAGGCTACAGACTGCTTAAGAGAACTTTCCAGTCCAGTGTGGCTGGCAGGTAGGCAAGACAAGGTTGGAGGATTGACAGATGCTATGTTAAAAATTAGGTATTTTATCCTAGGGTAATGGGGAGCCATGGATGGTCTTTGAGCTTCAGAGGGACTGGATTAGACTTTCCATTGAGAAAGATCCCTCTGGCCACTGTAAGGAGGTGAGACTAGAGGCAGGAGGACCAGAGAGGAGGCTGAGGCAAAGACCCAGGCCAGCGAAGATGCGGGCTGGGACAGGCATGATGACCAAGAAGAGGAAGAAAAGTAGGAAGACTTAAGGGCACGAGAAGAGAGAGGCATGACATGGCCACAGTCATGCAGCTGGTGGGTGGTAAACTCTGCCCCAGCCCCTTCCCTCCTTCTCTGGGCTTCAGTTTCGCCATCCTCACAGGAGGGAAAGTCCTGCCGACTATCCCCTCCATTACAGTGGAAGTAACAGACTCACTGAGGAGTGCTGGCAGAGCTAGTAAATACTCAGAAGACACCGTCTGCCTTTTCTTCTGGAACATCCCCTGCCCCATTCCAACATGGACACAACGTCTTTAAACAATCCACCCACAGAACCACATGGACCCATCCTAGGCTGAGTCATCTGAGAAACAGGATTCAAGGCTGGAGGGAGCATCTTAACTCAGATTTACCTTCTTGAATTTGCACAACCTTTGTTGAGTCAAAAATCCCTAAGCACAAAGAAACAGAAACATTTGCATTTTAAAAACCACACAGAAAAGATAAGTGTTGAGACCCTTTGAGGATGTGATGAGCTGCCTGTCAAGTTGGCACAAATTAAAAAGTTCCAAATGACTTTGCAGATGGGGGTATAGACCAGCAGACACTCTCAACATTCTGTCGATGAGGAACATACGTTGGTACAACCGGGGCGGTATCTGTTAAAATAAAAATTGCCCATGCCTTGGATTCAGCACTTGCAGTTCTGGAAATCCAGTTATAGGTCCAAAGATTAACTTTGGTTTTAAAGACAAAGCATTGAGAAAAAGTCTAAACCTCCATGGATAGCAAATGGAACCTCTCATTGGGATATCATACAGCTGATAAAAAGAAAGAGGTCATTCCCTTGAAATACACGGAGATGGTAACAATACCTTCCTCATACATTGTTTAAGAGGCAGGTAGTAGGGGAAGGGTACAGCTCAAGTGGTAGAGCACATGTGCAAGGTCCTGGTTTCAGTCCCCAGTACCTCCTCTAAAAATAAATAAATAAATAAACCTAATTACCTCCCTTCTGCCTCCCAAAAAAAACCTTAAAAAAAAAAAGATGAAATTAGCAATTGGAAAGTGCATAGCCCAGCACCTGGTATACAGTAAGCACTCAATAAATGTTGGTCAATAACATTATGTTATTCATGGGAAAAAAGCAAGATGTAGGATAGTGTGTAAAAACAGACCCTTATTTGTGGGGGCAAGAGAGAAAGGACAGACCCATCACATGCATTGAGCACCAACTGTATGCCAGGCACTGCTGTAACAGCTTCCCATGTATTATCTCACTTAATTCTCTCCATGATCTTATGATGCAGGATCTCGGTCTGTAGAGTTATTATCCCCATCTTGGAGATAAGGAGGAGGAGGCTCAGAAAGGTGAGTCTCTTCAGCTATTACACAGGAGAAGCAGGATTTGAAGCCCGTTTCAGTGTGACTCCCTATGTGTCCAGCTACTCCTTATTTCATCCCTATGCTGTCCTGCAGCACCTGTAGACTGTTTCCAGAAGAATCCACCACAAACTGGTGCCCACTGTGGCTCCTGGGGGCATTGACAAGGAGTCTGAGGCTCTGGGGAGGGGAAGGAGAGTGACTTGTCACTCCACATCCTTCGGGGTTAGGGATTATTTTACAGAAAGAAAAAGAAGTCGAAGGTCATCGTGGGCCCTATAATCAATCCGTTGACAATTTTACTCCTCTGAGATGAGGGCGAGGGGAGAAGAGGGGGCACCCAGGACAGGGAGAGGGAGGATGGAAAGGGAGAGGCAGGAAGAAGGGGGGAATTGGAAGAGTGGACAGCCCCCAGAAGGGAAAACACACGGGCAGCGGGCGCCTGCCCCACTGCCCCGCTAGACTCACCATCTTCAGGTCTCTCCCGGGTTCGCCGGTTCTCTGCTGATCAAAGGTCCCTCCTGCCTAAGGGCTGTGGTTTTTAAAGCTTCAAGGGAGGGTGCTGATAGCCAAAGAGGAAATGACCCATCTTTCCCCTCTGGAGTTCTTATTGGTCTCGGGCTCTTAGTGGCCTGGGACTCCTTCGGCCGGGCTCACACCCAGAGAGCTCTGAACACCGCCTCCTAGCCAGAGGGGAAGGCCGGGGCTCCAAAAACTGAGGAAGTCCCAGGTCCAGGAAGGAGAAAGCCAGAAGAAAGAGACCCCCGCCCCCTCGCTGCGTGGCCCCTCTTGCGGCTTGAGTTTCCCCATTTGAGACAATCTCTTTCCTTCCAGGGATGTCGGAGGTGCTGTGGAAAAGCTCAGGGGCCCAAATAGCTTAAAACTCCCTTGGTCCTGGGAAACAGGGACTGTGAGCCCCAGCTTCCCAGCCTGGTTGCTTGGAGCCCAGAGAGGCAAAGCAGGTCTGTGAAGGAGGCCCAGCCGTTGAGGACCATTCAGTCTTCCTCCCTAGGGTTTTGAAGTTCGCACCCCCACCCCCCAACCCCAGAGCCACCACCAGCCTTTGCAGCCCCATTCTGAGTTCTCCCAGAAACATGCTGGACTCGGGGGCTGGGAAGGAGCCTACTTACTGGTTTCCTATGGCTGCTATAACAAATGGCCATAAACTGGGTGGCTTCAAACAACAAAAACGCATCCTCTCACTGTTCTAGAGGCCATAAGTCAGAAATGAAGGGGCACTCTGCCGTGGGCTCCAGAGGAGAATCTGTTCCTGCCTGCCTCCTCCAGCTTCTGGTGACTCCCAGCATTCTTTGGCTTGGGGCTGCAGCCCTCCAGTCTCTGCCTTTACAGACACATCTCCTTCCCTCCTCCTGTGTCTTAAGTCTCCCTCTGCCTCCCTCTTATTATAAGGACCTTTGTCATTACATTTAAGGACCATTTGGATAATCCAGGATCTCCCATTTCAAGATCCTTAATTTATCTGAAAAATCCCTTTTGCTATAGAAGGTCAAGCCACGGGTTCCAGAAATTAGGATACGGACACCACTGGGAACCATTTTGCAGTCTACCACATGAGCGTGATTATTACAATGGGTGTAGAAACAGGTTCATTTTTCCCATACTTTTCTGTAACTCTACAATAGATCACTGATATCGTTCCTCCACAATTCATATTTTCCTACAGCAAGCTTCAATTTATGAAGATCTGGCTTTCTTTTCACCGCAAAGATGACCCATGCACCTTGTAAACATTTGAACAATCTAGAAATGCCCCCACCCCCACTCCCCAAAAAAGCACTGAAAAATCCCCTAACTTACATTCTTCTGCAACTCCCATTAGCAGTTTGGTGTGTATTCACCCAGACGTGGTGTTTGTATTCAGGGGTGCTCAGTGGACAGCAAATTTTAGTTCCACTGAATGAAGCCATACGTGTGGCCAACATGATTCAGCAAGGATTTTGAGGGTCTGTTGGTCGGGATTTGGTGCTGGTAGGAATGCGGAGTTGTTATACTCACCTTGACCTCAAGGAAGCACTTGAACTTGGGGAGGCTCAGGAGGCCAGGGCACACTCTCTTCATTTTTTAGGATTTTAGACCAAAGTTGTGCATTGCCTTAAAATCATGGATTTTTCTTTTTAAGTATAGTCAGTTACAATGTGTCAATTTCTGGTGAACGGCATAATGTCCCAGTCATGCATATACATACATATATTCATTTTCATGTTCTTTTTCATTGAAGGTTATTACAGGATATGGAATATAGTTCCCTGTGCTATACAGAAGAAATTTGGTTTTTATCTATTTTTTTATATAGTGGTTACCAAAAATCATGGATTCTTAACATTTTCTAGGTCCTGGTTCCTTGGAGAAGTTATGGACTGCTTCTCAAAATAACTTCTGCAACTTTTTATTTTGCTGTAATTTCAAATTTAAAGGGAAGTGGCCAGAATAGTCATAGCAGTAAGGAAATGTCATACAACACCTTATGAAATCCGTTGTCCTCATTCAGATTTCACTGAGGTTTCCAATGATGTGCTTGTATCACTATTTTTTTCAGAATAGTATTTTTGGAAATACATTTAAACACTTGGCATTGTCTTAACAGCATCATAAGTCGATTGTTAGTTGGAAACCGTTTATTTGATCATTTTCCTATTGTGACACTTCAGGTGGTTTCCCATATTTTTGTCCATACCATAGCGAGCACCCTTGCAAGGACATCCTGGTGCCTGTGTCCAAGGATGGATTGCAGATAACTCCCTAGAAATGGAATTGCAGAGCAAAGTGGGTGCACCCACTCTCAGTATTTGCCACCTTTCATGCTGATGTCTCTTCTTCCTGTTCTTCAAGACCTAGAACTGGGCTGTCCAGTCCAGCAGCCACCAGCCACCTGTGGCTACTGAATAATTGAAATGTGGTGAGTCCGTATTGAGATGTATCATGACTATAACACACACACCAGATTTCCAAGACTTACTGCAGAAAAAAAAGACTGGATTGTAAAAGAGCTCAACAATTTTTATATTGTATTACTGTTAAAACAGTAACCTTTTGGATGGATTGGGTTAAGCAAAAAATATTATTAGTTACAGTTGACCCTCAAACAAACCAGGGTTTAGGAGCACTGACCCTCAAGCTGTCAAAAATCCTGGTACTGCTCTCTCTGCCTCAAAAACAAAGGAGTTGTTCAATGACTCCCCCAAGGACAGGAAGCTGAAGCAGTTTGGATAGAATCAGGATTCAGATTCTAGTTCTTTTTTGTTTTGCTTTTTTTTTGTTATGGGGGAGGGGAGTTATTAGGTTTATTTATTTAGTTATTAATTTATCTATTATTATTATTTTATTTAATGGAGGCACTGGGGATTGAACCCAGGACCTTATGCATACTGAGCACGCACTCTACCACTGAGCTAGTCTCTCCCACTGACTCTAGTTCTTTTGCTTCTGCACACTGTGATCTCTAATCAAACGCAAACTTTTCCCCACACTTAGTTAATTTAAAGATCTGAGAAATGAAAATACAGGTGCTATATTTATTGGAAAAAAATCCCTCATGGAAGTGGATCTGTGCAGTTCAAGGATCAACTGTATATTATTGTTATTATTATGTATTAAACATCATTATATGTGACAACATAATATAAATATATAATATTAACATTATTACTATAAAATATATTTTAATAGCCTTGGTGTTAATCTAACATATAATTAGATTATTAAATATGTTCCTATTATTTCACCTGTTTCTTTTTACTTTTTTAACACAGCTACTAGAAAATTTAACAATACTGAGGATATGGGTTATAGCTCAGGGGTAGAGCACATGCTTGGCATGCACGAGGTCCTGGGTTCAATCCCCAGTGCCTCCATTAAGGGTGAAACATATTTTTAAAAAACAAAAAGAAAATTTAACATTACCTATGAGACTTGCATCTGTGATTCACATCATATTTGTGCAGGATGGCACTGGTCTCCAGCCACCACTAGCCCAGCCAGAACCTTTGTGAATTATAAAGAGGTGCCCTTTCCGGGCAGTTAGAGCCCCATGCCAGGGTGCGCGCGCGCGTGCGCGCGCGCACACACACACACACACACGGTTTGACCAAGAGAGCCATGTCTGCTTGTTTCCCATTCATTTCTCTCTCATATACCAGTATAACTCACAGCTTCCACTGTGGGGCTCTAAGGTGACAGTTCCAGCACTCACCACATCCCAACAGGAAGGGAAAAGGAAGTCAGGGTACTGATGTTCAATCCTTTTAAGGGTGAGACTCAGAAGTAACACACCAGGTGTTCCCCTCACAGCCCATTGGCTGGAACATGGTCACCTGACCACACTTAGCTGCAAGGAATGCTGAGAAACCTAATCTTGAGCTGGGTATCCCTGTGTCCTGTTAAAACTCTACTTCAAAAAAAGAACCCTCCTACATTGTTGGTGGGAGTGTAAATTGGTGGAACCACTATGGAGGGCAGTGTGGAGGGTCCTTAAAAAATTAAAAATAGACTTACCTATGATCCAGCAATCCCACACCTGGGCATATATCTGGAGAAAACTTTAATTTAAAAAGACACATGCACCCCAATGTTCATAGCAGCACTATTTACAATAGCCAAGACATGGAAGCAACCTAAGTGTCCATCAACAGATGACTGGATAAAGAAAATGTGGTGTATAAGCACACACACACACACAATAGAATATTTCTCAGCCATAAAAAAGAATGAATAATGTCATTTGCAGCAACAGAGATGGACCTAGAGATTATCATATTAAGTGAAGTAAGACAGAGAAAGACAAATATCATATGATATCACTTATATGTGGAAGCTAAAAAAAAATGATACAAATCGTATTTACAAACCAAAAATAGATTCATCAACGTAGAAAACAAACTATGGTTACCAAAGAGAAAAGGGCAGGGGAGGGATAAATTGGGAGTTTGGGGTTAACAGATACATATTACTATATATAAAATAGATAAACAGTAAGGACCTACTGTATAGCACAGGGAACTATATTCAATTTCTTGTAATAACATATAATAGAAAAGAATCTGAAAAAATATATATGTATGTATATATATAACTGAATCGTTTTGCTATACACCTGAAACTAACACTGTAAGTCAACTACACTTCAATAATAAACAAAAATAAAATAATCTCCAATGGACAAATGGGGAAATACAGGCTATAGGACAATTAGAAGTCCCGAGCAGCATCAGGAAGGGCTGCTTTAATTTAAACAAGACAATCTTATTTATTATTGCTTAAATAAGGAGTGTAACAGAGTGAAATGTGTGAGAGAATAAGGACGTGCCAATGATCTTCCTCTGGTTTGCTAAAGAGAATTCACATCTATCTACACATTCCAGAAAACAGGGATGTCCATTCAAATAATAGCACGAGAGCCATGCAGCATTAAGACAGACCACCGTGAAATGCAGGAGCAGCTCACAAAGCCACTCTCGCTCTGACACCACCTTCAAGTTTGAGGGTCCCCAAGACCACCCTCAGGTTTGATAATTTGCTAGAAAGACTCCAGAACTCTCTGAAAGCTGTGCCCACAGCTACAGTTTATTAGATCTAAAGGATAGAGAATCGGTCAAGGTAAGAGCTGCCTGGGGCAGAGTCCAGGTGAGTTCTGTA